AATAGCATATGTAATGAGGCAGATTTTTCTATAAAGATCTCAACTATACAGATAGACGGAGCAGTCACAAACAATTATTGTGTTAGACAGATGCTTGACTCAAGAAAAACCTCCATTTTCCCTTCTCTGATTTTCAATAAGCTGGGACCACCAAGGTTCTACTTGATGTCTCGCCGTACATATCAGACATCCAACTCTTTTTAATGATGCATATTCCGACGACGACCGGTTCCCTATATAGGTACTTAATTTGAGCAATTATTTGGTGAAATTGATGGCCCAAAGTAGGTCCTTCGTTTTTAATTTAGTCTATACGAGCTTACAGGTGTGCGAACTTTCATTTCCTTTTTGGCAAATATTTAACGCGAATCTTTTCGAGAACAAATATGACTGTAGAAGCATTGCACCTAAGAATCTGTTTTATGCTTTGATTCATAAATACCAATAGCAGATGTTCGACAGTTAACTTTTATTTTAAAGTGTTAACCTAAATGATCGTGCTTTCATGGAATTTGTGGTGCGTTATGACATAACCACAAGCCGCAAAAGAACTATCTGTAAAATAATAATTATTATTGTAGGTATTTGTATGATTTGTTATTTCAGTTTATGAGAATTTTCCAAGAATTATATTTGGTCAAGTTGGCACGCAATCGTTTTTTTTTCTACTGACATTGTATATAGATCAAAAATTAAGGAAATAAATGAGGTATAGACCAATAAAACAAGATTTCACACTATAAAAGCATGCTCCTGAACAAATCTGATTATAATAATATAACGACCTCACTCTCCTTTGAAAAGCATTTAAAGAATTCGTTCCGGAAAACGAACAGCCTTGATAAATATATAAAGCAATGCAAATGAAGAGTGGTTTTATAATGGACCTGTTCCATTGGAACATTAAATTTGTGTTTCAGGCATAGTTGCAACGTTAATGTTATGAGAAATTAAATAAACACACACTAGAGCCTCTGGTGTTAATCTTATGTAATGGAATATTCAAATAGCTAAGTGACTACTAGAGGCCTTAAGAGTAGACGTCGCTAATTTTCTTTTGCATTTGACACACATAATTCAGATTTCTGACATCTCCTCATTAAATGGTACCGTTACTAAAATATGTACACTGTGGCTCAAATTGAAGATGTAGATACAATTTTCAGTGATAACAAAAATGCACCCAGTTTCGTTCAACAGTTTTTTGAATTTCTTGGGCAAACCATAAGTTTCATAGTGAAGTTCAGAAGAAATTTCAAGGTCGTAGGTACCTGTAGTCTAGAGATTAAAAGAGCTGTCAATGTAAAAAACAAAATACCTATATGAAAGTTTTAGGAGAATAGTTAAGTTCAAATTCAAATTTTATCCACGCATATAGCATTTATAATAATTACTTAAAGAGGGTGTGCGCCAAAAATTAAAATTTAAGTGTAAAAAAACTAAAAATAACTGTTCAAACCTCGTTATTCTACGAAAAACCATCGCTGAAATATACTGCCTTAAAGTATGTGTGACGTCACGAGAGCTTCGTCCGCGCTCCGCATTGGTAATTTGATGGTTCCCGGCATGCGTCAGTAGTTTTTGTTTGAATTATTGCCGGTGGCGCAGGAAAAACATATGAAAATTCAATGCACTTCACTATCTCGGGCGGCGCTTGAGCTCTCGTGACGTCATAGTGTGAGACGCGGTATTTTCATAGAGCCGTATCTTCGATAATAATTGACATAGAGCATAGGCGCCGGAATTTCAAAATTACTATGGGGGCTGGGGCTCCAAAAATTACCAGAAGTACAATTGATTATACAGATAGGACTAGACTACTACACACATAGGCTTGAATGGGACCAGTTGACAGATAACAATTTCACTGCAGGATCGCCACGCTGGATCATTGATCATCCCTGCATATTGATAAAATTCGTGCCTTTTCGGTAGCTCGGCTATATTCGGCTTCGGCAACACCATTGGTGTAGTCAGGATTTTGTCTTGAGGAGAGACGGCAAATTCCTAGGAAGAAATCCTTGAAGCTCCGCCGCAGGCGCGAAATCGTGGTCTTTTTACGGTATTTTTGGGACTTCTAATGGTGGGGGCAAGCGTGGATGAAGCAATTTTCACAAATTTTGATAAGAATCTATAGTAAAACGTTACTTTCACTATAATATCATATATATCGAGCAGAAACATATATTTTGAAAAAAAAAAAAAATCAAAAAAATGAGAAAAAAAAATAAACTGAACCCATTTAGGAGATATTTGGGATCCCCTTTAGACCGCCATGACAAAAAAGTTCAAAAGAGTCTTTATTTTTATTTTATTTTTAAATTTCAAAGCATCCTAGCTGGAAAACGAAGAGCCTGGGAGAAAAACCTTAAATACATGTAGATCTTATTGAGAACTACAAAAAAGCTTATTAGAGTTACTACTCCACGGAGTACCGTTTTTGAGAAAATCGACTTCAAAACTTTCAATACATTTTCAGAGAAAATTCAACTTTGACGGCTTATATCTTGGAGACAGAAACAACTTGAAATATCAATAAAAAACAGTTTTGTAGGTAATTTATTACTCTTTCGAAGGAAACCTGATTCGGGACAATCGGTTCGAAATTACCGAAGTTATAAGCGAAAAAGTGGCGCCGTGTCGGGTCCCCAAAATTTTCCAGGATTAAAATCTTTTTTATTTTTTTTCGGGCTTACGAAACCTCGGTGCGAAAAACACCAGGAGACATTTTCGACGTATTTTTGGCTCCTCTATCCGGTGATATTTTTTATTTTTCGAAATTCGGAAAAGTAAATGCAGTGCATGTATGCACCATTACATGCCCTTTTCCAAAATTAGGGGGATAGGGGCTAAAACCCCTCCGGTAGGTTGGAGAGAGCTGGAACTTGGAATATCAACTTTTCTGGGCCCCTTTCACCTATATTCCGAATTTCATACGAATCGGCAAAAAAAAATATTTAGGGGCCTTAGGGTACCTACTTTGCTTTTCAGATAGGGGCCCCTCATATATTTTTTTCGATAAAACTCGTAGTCAATTAGATTTGTACCAAATTTTAGCTCGATAGGACCACCGGTTCGCCCTCGGCGAATCTTTGAAATTTTTCCCATGAAAAAATAGGTAAAAAAAGCCAGTTTATGACAAAATCAACGAATATTTAATTCTGAGGCACACAAAATTTCTGGAAACAATTACCACACTGAAACATCTCTAATCAACAAGTTTGGCACACCATATGCCCCAAATTTCGAACGATACAAACATGAAGTTCTAAGGACCCAAAATTTCCAGAAATCGTGAAATCCCTTTCCTTTCCATAATCCTGTATCTGAATTTACTGGACTCCTCCAAAACCCAGTGACCTAATATCCAAGAAAACAATACACATAGCTCCTCCCTACAATTTAGACTCGCGTAATTAACAATGAGCAAAGGCGTGAAATCGCCAGCCTAAAAAGAGATATCAGAACCTGAGACTATATCAGCAACATCAATATTCTAAGGTCGAATTCCAGACACTGAAGAGGAATAAGGCTTGGTTATACAAATCTGATTTTGGGGAAACGTCGTTAAGAACCGAGTGCTTCTCAACGCTCGAATATGCAAACTTGAAAAAAAAGCAACAAAACTTCTTTGATCAACTATTGACCACGGACACTCTGATGGGCCAGTTTTGAGTAGTTCAGAATTAACCACTAATTGGACAAGAATTGCGGATCTCTCTGAAAGAAGGAGTAGATTATATGAACAAAATCAATGAGAGTTTAAACGAACAATATCTAGAAGCAGAAAAGCATGTAATAAAGAAGAAAAGAAGGCGCTTGAAGAAGGGTATTGATGAGGCAAATAAAAAAAGTTTTCTGAGCTGAAATGCTGAAAAAAGGAAAAAGAACTATCTTAAAAACATTGAACAAACTATTTAGGGTGGAAATACCAGAGAAATGTAATAATAACCACGTAAAGGCGTGACATCAGAAACTAAAATCCCATTTCATCATTATTATCCCAAATATACAAGGTGTTTATGAAAATAATCACCAACCGCTTCGAAATTAGTCCACCTATTCTTCTGAGAACATCTTATCTTGGAAAATAATGTTCTATCTTTGGGTCTTACACATTTTGCGTAATATTTGGCAACGCCCCAATACAACCATCTCATGTACGTATTACTCAGAATCCACGATTTCGTATGTTTTCTGATCCATTTATTGGTGAATCATATTTCAGTTGTTATTTCAGTTGGCCCTCAGTAATTGTCCAAATCTAGCATAATCGGTTACATTGATGGAAAACTCTGAGTTTTAGACAATATTCTGCTGATTGATTTTGAATATTTGCCCTCTAAGTATAATGGTTCGGATTTCCTTTTCCTCCATGTTTGTCTTTATTTTTGTCTTCTATAGATTCATTTTCTCTTAGGCTTTAGCCAGCTTTTGAGATCTGGTCTGGCATAAGTTTTTTGTTGTAGGCCAAGTATCAGTTATGTTCTTGCTTGGAACGGAAATATGGCCTCTTAACAGTCCAGATCTAAATTTACCCTAATAGCACTAAAGGTACGATGGAGGTTTACTTCAAGTCCGTTTAACGTCGTGTGAGGACTAAAATGTCTGAACATGTTTTGACCAAAATTTAAAGTAAACATATTATGGAAAAATACTCCAGTACCAAAAAACCTGAGGTGTTTTTGTATGATGGCTAATAAATCCCACACTAGTAGAACGAGTTTTGTGGGTGATATTGATGGTAAAACGGAAGATTCCATCATTTAATATTCTTCTCACAGATTAATTGGTACTGTCGTACTGTACTACTAGATTTCTGCTGTCCCAGTTTTTCTTCAGGCAGGATGTTACATACATTTATTAATTATTATCATAATTGCCTGCGGATGAAAAACTTTTGTCTAGAAGGTTTTCCCAGGTTTCTTCTTTATTTACCTAGAAAGTCCATTAGTCCTTCAAAAACAAACTTAAGTAGTGAATATTGATTAACAACTAACTAGAAACATTATTTTGAGGTTTATTGAACCAGAGTGGATAAGAAAAAAAACACAAAATCAACTTTTTTCGTCCCCTCCTCCTTGCGTCATCCAACTGAGATAAGCATTCCAAAATATGGCAACAGCTTGCACCAATAACACCTGATATTTCAATGGAACAAAGTAAAAATTAATCACTTGGACGGCAGGCCAAATTTTCCAATTCGTCTTGACTATTTCAAAGTGTTCCTTTTTCAATTTGTCATTGATTTGTTCCGCGTTTAGACCGTGAAGTAAGCCCACGCTGGAAATGAATATTACCAAAAAGCCCGGAGCGAATATCAGTTGATCGCACGCCACTTTGCATAATGTTGATTTGGCGTTTTTATCGTATCCGAATGTTCTGGCTAGGAGTTTGTACCAGGCTGTTACTGCGGGACCCTGAAACAAATCATTCAATAAAGTTTTCGGAAACTATTTTACTCAGGTACCACTAAACAGAAACCTAAAAAGGCGAATTGAGCGGTTCTCGCGTTTGAGTGTTTCCGAAAACCGCGTTTTTCTACTAATTGTTGACATACTACGTCTCCGGTGGCCATTAAAAAGCTGGTTTGGACACATTGGACTAGTAGAAATTTTTCTTTTAACAGTTTTTGATAGGTTTTCGAGGCTTTTGATAACATTTATAATAATTTGTCTATACAAAAATACACCTGTCTTTGACAAAACTTTCAAATGATGTCAGTACAGTCAGTATAACCCCTCATAGAAAAGTCAGTCACTATGCAAATGAAAATAAGCAGACTGCACATACTGGAAATAACCCCCAAACATGTATAATTAAAATCCTCGAGAATATTCAAACAATTTTTTTCAGCAATTAATAATAAATTAAAAATTTGCCATTAACGATATGCATAATTGAAAAGTGCGGCCTTCAAAGAATATTTTAATGATATGTACCTAGTTAAAATAGAACATAGTCCATTTATGTATTTAACGATATGTAAAAAAGGCTTACTATATGAAAAATCAGAAAGGTCTCTTTGTAGTAAATTATTTCTTGTGACATAGAGTTAAACAATAGATGAATGTACTTAAACTAGAGATTCTGAGCTGAGAAGCTATGTGGGTCATTCAGTATCACATATAACATCAATACAATATACCATATATAGGTACTATACAATATCACACCAGAGAAAATAGCCAGCAGGTTCTAGATTGCAAAAAAAGTATTTCATTGTAGAGTCCCAAAGTATAACCATCGAAAATCAGCTGCTTAAGCTTAGACTTGAAGCAAGTTATGTTAAATTTTTTAACAGATTCTGAAATTCAATTGTAGTAGGTACCTTAGTCCTTCTGAAAATAATATGCTATATACGTTGACCAGTTCTTAAGTTTTTATTGAATCTGGTATTGTGGGGGTGGCTTGCGTTGCTGGTATGGGATTTATTAGAGTGAATATTGGAAGACTGGCAAGAATAGATAAAGATGCATGATTGCAAGATATACAGGAAGGGAATGTCCAGGATGCCATTTGGATAATATAGGTCTTTTGTTTGAAATAGAAATGGCAACTTAAACATATTTTTTTCATAGAACGATTTTGGAGAACTGACAATGGATACAGTTTGCTAAGGGAACAGGGAAGTATTGCCCTAAAGCAGAGTTTGATATGATAAGTGATAATGGGTTAGGGAATTGTATATCATCGTACGATGCATAATGGAGAGATAGTCTGATATTCGACCAAGTATTCCAGTTGCTGGTGTAATCATTTTACAGATATGCAAGATGTGCATATCCCAAGTAAGTTAGGAATCGGAAAAGAGTCCCAAGTATTTAATGCAGTTTGCACCAGTCAATGGAAGACTTTGAAGGTTTATCGTGAAGTCAGGCCAGGACTCAAACTTTGATATTACCATATATAGTTTGATTTTTTAACATTTAAACTAAGTTTGTAGTAACAGAACCGCTTATTTTCTGTAAGTCTTCTTCAATGATGATTTTTAGGTTAAGGAGGGTCCTGATAAAAATAAATGATACAAAGTATCATCTGCATATAAATTAAGTGAGTCCTGCCAGGCTCAGTATGACAATGAGATCATGTAGACTAGGAAGAGTGTCGCTTCCAGGGGCACTCCAAATTTTCCATTTTACTCCTGTTACCCTCACATTCAACATACTTTAGTCAGCCTGTTATATAATCGCTAAACCACAGTATACTGCTGAACCTCCAATACCAGTTTTTTCAAGCACCTCCACGAGGATTTTGAGATTTACTGTATCCAAAGCTTTTCTTAAATCCAACGAGACAAGTACACACAAATCTCTTATCAACCTTTTCATTAATATTTAATATTTGTAATTAAGTCTGTTGTTGCTGGTTTATCCCATATTCACACAGGTCTCCAAATACCTTAGACATAGCTGGCAAAAGTACCACATTCTCCCTAGGTTTATTTTTCAACCTAATCATCAAAATATTTGGGAGATTGTCTAGTTCTCTGATCGTTTACACAGATTTCTGACAACGGAAAAGATTTACAAGTAACAAGTCGATGAATTTTCCCTGAAAAGCAAGGTATCCACTTTGAGTATTGGGCGAACATCCCAAGAGCTCTTTTCAGAGACTGAAAGTCTTCAGGTACAGGTAGTTTTCATAGAGGTTCAAGTCTAACTGAATCAGGTTTCAAGATATTCTCGATCAGGTATCTAGGAAGTTTGATTGATTTTAGGGAGTAAGAACTTTTCTTTTCGTTTATGGTAAAATTGTATTTCCTTATAAGGAGTAAAAATTCTTTTAAATTTTTATCATGGTCTGCTTGATTTCTACCGCATATCGTAATATCATCTAAATATGCATAGACACCTTCAAGATTCTCTGATTTTATTATGTAGTCTATTACCCGCTGAAAACATGCAACTCCGTTTGTCACACCAAAAGGAATTCTTTAGAACTGATATAATTTACCATCTGCCTCAAAAAGCTTTTCGTCGTCACGTATGAGAACTTGGTGATAGGCACTCTGTATTGAAAATCTCGAATTTCGCCAGAGCACGAACAATATCTTCAATATTGGGTTAGGATGAGCATCTAAATAATGTAAACCTGTTAATGGTTTGAGAGTAATCGATCACCATCCTTTTCTTGTGCGTTCAATTTTTCGTTACCAACACCTGTGCCCGCCAAGGAGAGTTGCTTTCTTCTATGATTTTATTAAAAGAAGGTTTCTTATTTCAATAGAAATAAAGTGCCTAAGTATCTTGGGTGAAAATCGTCTAGACTTTGTTGCAGTCTGCTGACAGATTTGAAAATAATGTAGGCGGATCAATTTTTAGGAATGCCAAACTACAAATCGGTGATGAGTTGGGAAACTTAGAACCTTCAAAAGATACTCCAAGAGTTAAATGGTGCTTTCTAAAAATATCATGACCTATAATAACATCAGCACATAAATCAGAAAGAACTGATAAACGTTATTTTCCCCATCATGTCTAAATCTACAAAGCAATGACCTGATATTTGAGACTGTAAAGCTGTTGTGGCTATCAGTATATACCCAGTGCTTGAATGTATAAATACATCGATAAGTGAGGCAAAAGTTTCATCAATGTATGTTTCAGAACTCCCTGTATCTACCAAAGTATCAGCAACGAATTTGTTTAATTAAATTTTGATAAGGCATTTGGTTAAACTTCCAGGTCCGTACAAAGAAGCCCAGAAACAGGTATAATTGATGCAGAAGCTTTGACTTTTCTTTTGCTTAGACATACCTTGGAGAAATGTCCACGTTTACCGCATTCAGTACACGTTGAATCTTTAGCAGGGCATAACGTGCGAAAATGTCTTTCAGTACTTCCACAGAAATAACAATTGTACACTTTCGTAGCAGCGGAAATGAGGTCTTCTTCATGTGTTTCTCTACTTTCAAATTAAATTGAGTTAATCACACCTCGAGAGATGCTATATGCTTCTGAATGCTTTTGTGCCGATTCTAGAGATAGAGCTTGATTCTTGGCTCCATCAAACTTCAAAGAAGTATTCTCCAACAATCGTTGTGGAATTTGGGAAGAGCTTAAACCACTAATGAAAGAATCTCTAATATAGTCGTTTTGACTTTCTTCAGCATTGAAGTTACAGTCTTGTAAGTACTGATCAACAGTCTCTCCAGGTTGCTGCTTTCTAGAGGTAAGGCCAGTGTCTGGCAAATATTTCATTTTTAGGTTTAATGAAAATTGAATCCAAAATCTGACTAATAAGAACAACGGGATATGTGCTAATAATTGTTATGGCTCACCTTAGTTCACCAATAGTTTTAGTTTTCCATCATTCTCTAGCTAATTAACGGATGACATGAAATTGTTGAAAGTTGCTTTCCAGTGTGTCCACTCTTATGCAGCTTTTGGAGAGTTTTGATCAGCATCGAATCGTTCAGGTCTTAAGAGTTTATCCATTTTGTTTATTAAATTGTAATGATTTACTGAATTACCTTCAGATATTAGGCTTTAATAAACAAGAATTATACAATGTAATAATAATTGATACTGGTAAGATAACAAAAACTACATACAAAAGATATCAAAAGTACCACACTTGGTACAGATGCAGTATCAAATATAAGATCAATCAACCTACATAAAGTAGGCAATATTTCATTTTTCAATTTCTTAATTTTATGAATGCCCAAACTGTCAGTTCTAGGTGATTTTTACAATTTTGATTTGTTTATAGGGTGATCCCCTTTGCAGTTACAAGTTCTCATTGATTTATATAGGCAGTAGTTGTTGGGGTTGATAGGAAAACGTTGTTGGGGGGATGTTTTTTGCTAGTTCTGCAGCAAGTCCAAAAAACTATTGGTTTAGCAAGTTGGCATCTTCCTTTAGGTTCTGCACAGTGTGTCCTTCATGTAGGTACTAACTTGGGTAGCATACTATTATTCCTGGGTTTGAAGTTGTTGACTCTAGTGTTTAGTGTTCTCCATATATGTTTAACATCATTCCCTGCTTTACTAATTTATGCATTATAATAAGCTTTTCTGAGTCAGTTGGTGATTTTCTATATTCTCTTTGGGTTGATTTGTAAAGTTCAAGTAAGTAAGCACTGTGTGGAAACATTTTATGTCGTTGATAGTGAAAATCCCACCTCCTCGTTAACGTCAATTTGAAAGCTGCCTATACGAAAACCATGATCGGGTTAACCGGATCACAAGGTTTACCAATCTCGACGTACGGAAAGGGATCTAGGATCAGGTCACTTTTGTACCGAAAAAAATCGAGTTGTTCGGTTCAGTATCATATGTTTGGATCTTATCGACCCTGTTGATAGAATGCGGGGTAAATAGGATTAGTAGCCGTCAGTTGTTTTTCTTAACCCAAATTTTTAGTTGTTTGCTGATTGTTTTCCCTTTAAAATAAATGTGGTAGACATCTTCAACAACTTGAGATTAAAATCAAAATAATGTTTGTTGAGGTTAGGAAAGGTGTCATTTGGCAAGATTCATCTGCAGATCCATCCATTCGGAAACTAAACTAGCTCCATCTAGATTGTTTTCTAATCCTTGAACAGCTGATACTGGTCGAACTGATCCTAGATAAGTATTTCTGTAAACAACTAAAGTGTCTCATGAGAATCTGCCTCAATAAGGGGAGTGCTCTAGCTTCCCCTCTGCAAATTATCCTTACTACAAATGTGATGTTGGTTGC